AACTGAATTTGGTTTGACATCTTTTGGGAGACTGTCAGACACGGAAAGGAATTTGATTACTTCAAGACCCCCCACTGCTCCCCGCCCAAACTGATGTTTGCGATTTTGCGGCTTTGAAAATTGGGAGTGTTTGACCAGAGTGTTAGAGTTGCTGTTTTCATTCCTTTGAGTACTAATAAAGCCATTTAAGTATCAGCCTGACTAGAGGGCTATTAACATTTGCATCGCTTCTGTTTGTACCTTTTGGATACATAAAATGTCGGGTTTTTTGGATCTCTAATCGAATTTAGAATGTGTTGTACGTTTATTTAACTCTTCTGCAAATGCTGAAAATGAATTGTGAAATGCGAGGATTCTATCACATGAATTGTTTTCTTCGGATTTTAATTATTTCATCCATATCTTTAACCTTAAGCATCAAAATAGCATTGAAGAGAGGTAATTGTAAAAGAATAGGTGAGCTACAGAAAGGGGACATGCTTTTAAAAAAATGACCAGTGAAATACTATTACTATAAATCTTTGTTGTTCTTGTTAATGGTTAAGATTCACTTGGAGTTTCCCTTAATTTTTCTAGTAGGTATCATGAGATGAAATGGGTTAGCCCTCTACTTTGATCAGTTGCAGTACAACATTCCAGTCAGTTGTAATGATTTGGGTATTGAAGATAATTGTCTGGTTTAATGCTGGCATTTAACCTAAGTAGGGCTTGAAAAATGTAAGTTCTAATGTTTTTGCATATCTTCTGGAAATATGTAATTTTTGTCAAATATAAATCAGCATATTATTTCTGTTGGGAATTCTGTAATCCACAAAGATTTACTAACCAGGGGTAGATTTCCTCTCTCTAAGTCTATCTTATAAATGTGTGTGTTGATTTTTACCTTTTAAAATCAGAGCTTTTGGCTAATTTCAGAATTACCGGTCGTAGTTCAGTCTGGGAAAAAGCAAGGCTTTTTCCCTTTTTGTTCTGCCTGGAAATGTGTTTCACTTGCATGCAATTTTGTTGGTGGTGGTGGTGAAAGTTAAAGAGATAATGCGATTAAAAATAAAGCAATCGCTATTCTCTTCAAAATGTTTGTAGTGTTGATGAGAGAGCATAAGAGTTCTAGAGACAGTAATCAGATTTGTAAAGTGTTAAACTTTGAGGAGGTATTTCTGACAATTTTTTGCTAACAGATACTTTACTGAATAGTACTATATTTCGTTTTCCCTTAGTCTTTCCTACATTAGGAAATAAAATGTGTAGGTTTTGTACCCAATTGTTTTAAAATAGCAAACAACTAAGTACTAAATCTGTCTTTTCCTTTACCAAGTTAGTGTTTAGGTAATCAACAAATACCTAGAAGTCTTTTTAAATTCACAAAATTTCTAATGGATTTTTTCAGTGCAGACATGCAAATCTAAGTTTGAAATTCTATTTAAGGTTCTCAACTTTTTATTGTGAGATTTTTCTGAGTCAATATTCATTTTTCCTAGACTGTCTAGTAAAGTACTATATTCTACAGTGTAAGGAAAATCAACTTTCACTCATCAACCTCCCCCACCCAGCCAGTCTGACCAAAAACCCACACTAGAGGCTTATCCTGAACTTAACTCCTGTGTGAGTTGTAGAAAAGTGCTAAATATCTAGTTTGTCATTGTATTATTTTGGGAAAGACATTAATAATCTTGTTTGCATTTTAGATACATTTATAAAGCAGGCGAGATGCTGGTACCTATTGCTGGGGTGTGTGTGTGTGTGTGTGTGTGTGTGTTATGTAATAAAAAGCATAAAATAAGTAAATAGTTATGTAGATATTCAGGTCTTAGTCTTTTGCTGATTTGAGCTTAAAATTCCCAGTATAAGTGTGCAAATGAAATTTAATTTGTGTTTTGTCTAGAAACTTCATCAGTTGCCTCTGCGCTGGGGAACTAAGAACTTGTTCCTGGAGACAGTCACTGTTTCAGAAAATCAGGGCACTCCCAAACGCACACTGCTTCAGAATCCCTGGATGTAAATGTTTGGGACAAAGGGCAAGAAATTTAGAGTTGACCCAGGACGGTGGACAGTTTCGAGCTTTAGTTTTCTCTCTTGAGAGTGTTATGTTTTGCAGCGATACATGGCAGGGACCGACCGCCCCCTCAGCGCAATCCCACTGGCTTTGTTGCTACTTTGAGTGCTTGGGATGGGGCAAGGGCTTGGTTCTGCACAAGGTAAACCCTTGAGGCATAGTAGTGGTCTTTCTAGTTAGGATTTCACGAAATTGTAGTCTCAGTGAATGTTGAGGAGTGCATGTCCTGCAGGGGTCTGTGCGGAGATACTGCTACCCTAGCTCGCTACCCTGTTTGAGGCCGGGGTCTATCCAGGGTCCTGATTGCTACTCTGCGAGCTTGGTGAAGCCGCCACTTCACACACACATTCTTGTGCGGCGGGTTCCTATATTCTTTTACAGACAGGCTTGGGGATAGGGAAAGGAGTACTGGAGGGTACTGGAGGGTGCCCCCAAACTAAACGGAAGTTTTTTTTATGAAGTCCAAAGCCTGGATTTTTCTCAGAGTGGGCTTTTCCTTTAGGGAGCAATTTCAGGCATCACTGGACAAATGGGTGGTTCCAGGGATAGTTCACAGGACTATCCCAGTTTGCTCTTTCGTAGTCAGAGTGCTTTGCCCTGTTTCTTCTTCTTTAGTGGAAAATAACAAAAGTCAGCCCAGAGCTGAAATAGCGAATACTGGGTAGAATGAGGCCCGTCCTAAGAGAACAGGAAGCTGTGAGTCCTTAGCAGGCTGGTTTGCCCAGGAGGTTAAGTGGCATTTTAGAGTCAGGCTTAAGCGCTGAACTGGTCTGAGTTTCTTGACCAGTAGTCCTTTCTTCACCCTGTTTTTCCCGGAAGCCAGGGCAAGTAGGTACTCTGCTGTCTCTGGAGCAAACAGTAAAGAAGACAAATCTTACTTTGGGGAGAGGGGATGTTCAGTGAGATCGAAACTCACAGATGGGATAAGCACATTCTTCTCAGGATGTGGGCAGCAGTCCATGCTTTTTTGAAAATACCTAGAGTAGGGCTTTGGGGTCTGTATTCTCTGCGGGCCCCTGCAGAAGGTGAGTATAGGGACATTGTCAGGGGATCCCCTGGAGATAGGCCTTAACTTTCCCACAGCTGCCAGGACTGCATACTGCAGTGAGGGAGCAGAAACATTTGCTATCTCTCTGGGAAAGGGGAAAATAGGCCTTTGCTTATGCCTGAGATCTACATAGATATAAATCAATTATTTGAGCCCCTTTCTGAAACCAGAGAGACCACTCATTTAACTGTCACTCTCCAAAGACTTGTTGGTTAATTAACGGTCGGTAACCTAGCAGTCTGCCTAATAAACCAGCGATCTTTTAATGTTTTATTTTAGGGGAGGTAGGGGCTTTTCTTGACACTTAGAAGTTTCTGGGAGAAGGGGTGAGAGGGGCAAACGAACCTGCTTTAATGAATCCCGTAAGGAAATGCGTTTCCCAGGAAATTCCTGACATTTTTAGCTTGTGAATTTCCTAAAGCCTGCTGGGTTTTCTCCTCCATTCTGGGTCCTTCTGGAGAGGAAGAAGAGTGGGCTAGGGGCTTGAAGGCTCGGTAGGGCCTGGTTCATCCGCAGAGCTGGCCGGCAACCGAGGTTGGGCTCAGCCCAGAGCAGGGTGCCCCCCTTCCCCAAATCTCAGAAGGAGGAGGGGGAAGCGGGCGGGCAGTCTTGGTCCCCGAGGGGCCTGATTCGAGGGTTTTGGGTGAGTGTGGGGTTTCTTTTTGATTGTTGCTGGGGGGTGGGGAAGTAGAGCCTACGGGCACAGGCACTGCGGGCACCCAGGCCCTAGTGCGGCTGCCGTCCTCTGCTCGGCTCCCCCCCGCCGGTGAGTGCGCCCGCCCGCCCGACTGTGCGGGGCTGCGGTTGGGGGGAGGGGGGAGCGGGATCATCTGAGGCCAGAGCCGCTGCGCGGGGAGGGGGAGCGGCGGGAGCGAGGGGAGGGAGAGGGGAGGGACTGGCTAGGTGTCTGCTGCTCCGCACCACTGCTGCCGGCGCCCCGTCTTCATCCCTGGCAGCCCCTCTGCAGCTAAGGGTTACCACCGCACCACCTCTCCTCTTCCTCGCCCGCCTCTGCGGCCAGGGCTCTGCTCTGCGGTAGGAGACAGCCCAGTCGGGTGACGGGTGGGCCTGTCTGGGTTTGGGTCTGAGTCTGGCTAAGGCCCACGGGGGAGGGGTGGCTGTGACTTGCTGTCCCCTCTCTGCAGCGGGTTCAGTTGCGTTGCGCAGGCCCCTCCCCCAACATCCTCTCTTTAGGGTCACTGGAGAGCAGAGCTCAGGCCGTTTCCCTGGGAGTCCCCTTCTCTCCCCTAGTCCCCCAACTCCCTGGGCCGAAACCGCTGAGGGTCTGGCCAACAGCGACTGCCACAGTGGTGGTGGCGGCAGCAGCTGCGACGCGGTGCGTCCCACTCCCCCCCCAACCCAACCAGGGTGTGGGGTGAGGGCCGTGGGTGGGCGCCGCCTGGCGGGCAGGCGTACAGGGGCTGGAAGCGAGGAGGGGGCGCGGGTCACGTGCCGGCGGGCGGGTGGGCGCGTACAGTAGGGCACCCTGCTACTGTACTGGGGAGTCAGTGCCCTGTTACCGGGTCTCGTCTGTCTCGTCTCTCCCGCAGATCTCGCGAGAGTGGCTGACTGGCTGTGGGGGTTGCGGCGGCAGCAGGCGGAGCCGGGGAGGGAAAGCAGCGGCGGCTGAGGCGAC